AAATGTGTTCACTGCCCAAACTAGGTGACTGGGACCAATCACCTCACTTGGTTAGTTAGACCAACCAGATTTCTGAATATGTACCCTTATCAATGTCATTCAGTCGTCGTGTACTAACCTGAGGAAAACCACTGAAAACAAGAGCTCTTTCGCTAAAGTTGCTTCTAATGTAGCTGAAATCCTTCACGATTTCAAACCAACCCCCAGCAAGAGTTAGTCCCTACCAACCTTTGAGACTGGCTATTTCGTGGGCGCTAAACAGTCAAAACGACTAACATATAGCGCTAATAGCTTCATAGCAATTTAATTCCAAGGAGCGTAGATAACCTACCATTCCGGAAAAGCATTACACGATCGTTTCGTCCTATTGGGATTCGTCAGTGGCGCGCAGTCCACGGAGACCCTAGGCTACGGATCGAACCCATGACCAGTAGTGGTTTGCACTACTAGCCAGCAGCTTATACCACTGAGCCATGGGGGACGATACCCGACCATCACGGATTGATAAAATGTAACATGACGGGGAAATATTGTCGGTGCAGCCCAAATAGAGAAGTAGAACAACTAGAAGCAGTTCCACATCTTCCAAGTCATGGTAAGCGAACACTGTTTCCACAACTTCGTCAACAGTACAACAAAACAGTGACAATGAGAACCCCGTTCGCACTGATGGAGGTCCAGCAGAGCGGCGCCCACCAGCCTTAATCCCTCACTCTAACCCAAACAGCACGCATAAAGTATTGTTATAATGGATAAGTGTTCCATGAGCACACCACCCCAATCAAACTGCACCAAAGGATCGTTTTAGAAGGCTTGGTAGACGCCCAGTTAACATATTCATGACCATACAAGACGCTTCACTTTTGACAAATAAGCTTCACCAGGCGAAGTGAATTAGCGTAACATTAGCATTTTACAACGACACAAAGGACACATTGTCACACCAAATCGAAAACGCTTTTCATGTCGAGGTGACTGGATCGGCAACCTGTCTGGCGGTGCTACAACAACTGACGCAATTCTAAGATGTGATCAATATAGGTTCGAAGTAAACCAAAATAACCATGATTTTCACAGTAACCAGCGCAGATAACTTCTAGTCGAATAGAGAACGTGTGGATTATTGAAAGGTTTAGATACCATCTGCCAGCATTTGACGAATAGGCCAGCACAGGCACAGACAGGTAGATCTTGGTCTCAGGCAAAGCCTGTTCGAGCAAACTGTGCTTGTCTTTGGATCACCAAGCTCCATCACTCGATTTGCTTGCGTCGGAAGTGGCATGTAAGTCATAAAGAGACTTCGAGATAGCTAGATCAAGACTAGAACGACAGAATGGAATTCGTCCAAAACAACTGGTTTTCACCCGATGGCTATATGTTTCTAAGTGTACTAAAGTATTTGACATGTCCAGTTGGATGCCTTTGCTGTCAGTTTACTGTGGTCGCTAAGGATCCTTAGAAGAAATTAAAATGGTTAAGTAATAGCCCAATGGAACTCATAATTTTACCACCGAAACTGGTTAAATGCGATTAGTTCGAACATGAGATGTTTGGGACTGTTTAGAAACAGACTAATTGGATAAGGATCAGTCCCGACAGTTAGCTATGCGCACGTGGGAGGAGAATCGTTGTTCTGCCGCAGATTTCACACTCAACTAAAGGAACAAATTTGATGTGGGCTGCGTTTTTGAGCAAACGAGTTGTCGCAGTGTTGACATGTGTTTAGGCGGAGCTCTGGAGTGGAAAACAGAAAGCGAGCAGATAAAGTGCTGAACAAGAAGGAGAAAACAGAGAAAGAATGGTTCCATATAAGTTGCAAAACTAGCGATGAAAGTAAAACACAACGTGCTAGTACAGGTATCATCTAGCAACATGTAGAACATGGTCAAAAATTGTACGCGCCGGATAAAGTACCACTTCGGCCTCGCGATCAAACTGTGCTAGGCAGAAAGAATCTTCTTATAAAAGACGACGGCTTTCAAGAGTATATGCACTTTGTGCATTTGCACAGACGACAGAGAAATTACGCTGCACCCCGCAAGAGCATTCGTTCCGAGTTCAGTCCGGGTAGATGCATTGTTCGACCCCTCAGATTCATATAGACTGGCAACTCAAGTTTTATACTTCATTTCTTTGCGACTTCGAAACGCTAAACAATGCGCGACGTACCACCACAGATTGTTGCCGCTCGACATACATGTTCAAATGCCAGTTAAGACAGTATTCGCGTACGGTGATCGTGGCACCGTTTAGGGATAGTTAAACGTTTGACTAAAACTCTGCGCAGCTCCCAATGCGATGGAGTAACGAAACAAGCATGGGGCGGGGATTTTGTTCTCCCACTAACAAACACTCTACTATGTTACATAGATGCCAAAAAAGGGAAGTGACGCAGAGGAAGAGGAACCGATTGACCATGGATCGTGAAAACGGCTGCAGCTTGAATTACTACTGCCTCAGGCAATCTCTCTGAGTGAGTGCGACCAAGAATGCATCACCTAATGGTTAGCAAGAAACGTCACAGGATTTAGTTCGCTGTCGGCATCAGTGGCGCGCATGTTGTCGCCACCTAGTTGGATTGTGGTTCCTATATACTTCATTCAGACATCTCATTTAAGCAATTCGTACACAAAAGTTTGAGAAAAACATGCCAAATTTCACGAAAACGCCGTATAAGCTTAATCGATTGTCTTATACTCGTGTTCCGAAATCAAATCAATAAATTTCTCATGGTAGGTAATGCACTTGAGCTGTTCAGGTTGAATTTTCCACTCAGTCACAGACGACGGGGCTACATACGGGGTCGCAACTTAATGAAATTCAATGAAAATATTGGAACACCTTGTCCAAAACAAAATTCGTGACGAAATCGAAATCAAATTTAAGAAATTCTGAGACGTCCATTGGGTGGTTAATTTGGGGAACGGATCGAAGTTGATTTCAATTATGACAACCAACGGTAATAGACGACGTTATCCCACATGCACGCTCGACACTACACCGATAAAGCAACACAGACCTATACCTACCAGCACTACATCATAGATATTTCTCGTCAGCATCTACAGCAGTACACCGATTATCTAAAACGTCGCGTCGCAGCACTACGAACACAATGACCTAAGGAATATTAAATAACAAAAGAAATAGAAGGTAAATCTAATGTAAATACCTGAATGTCCAAAGGAAGTGCATGCTTTCGCCCGCTTGTCGGCTTATAATTCCTATATACTTCATTCAGCTATTTCATATTTCAGGAATTGTTACAGAAAGGTTGAAGGATAATATGTCCGATTTCACGAAAAGGCCGGAGAGTCTCGATCGATAGGCATATGCAAAAAAGGTGGATAGTAATAACTTGAAATGTAACATGTGTGTAGGTTGAGCCTAAAATCGCGCGGACAATAGCTAGAAAGTGTGAATAAGGTTGGAACAACGTGCCAGTCAACGGCAGATTACAGGTGCGCGACAAGCGTTTTCCCTATATAAAGCCACATATGTCCGCTTAACTACACTGCGACGTGGCGGATGTGACTCGCCACTGAATAATTCACAGCCCACAACTACATACTGGCAAGCCGACCTGAATCCTAATGTAATATTTTCCTGACAAGTTTTCTCTACAAACTGAATGCACAGCCTGTTGACACTACGCCCATTAGAACCCAACTTGTCGTCATGTTTTGACGAATTTATACCTTATGATTAATTTTACAATTTCCAAAGCTTGGACAACTTTCGGCTAACTGCCGATTACATGCATAGCAACGTGTTTGTTGCGAAACATAAATTGCTTGTAAACGTTGTTCATGCCTGGTCAGGTGTGTCTCGGAAATTCGAGAATATACTATTTATTTGTTTATTTATTTAGTGGTTAGTTATGAGGAAATCGGTCAAACACCTGATGGACAACTAAAATCTTGATTGAAGAGGTAGTGCTGACAGTTTTTCAAACGTCTAGTTCAATCAGCTAATTGTCATTAAATTGGACTTAATAAGGTGGCACACTAAACTCCCGACAGCTTTGCACCAATATATCCTCTTCACGTAGTTGGTGGCTTCGACAATTTCCATCGCATTACGAATAAGTCTCTTGAAGCTTGAGTGAGTGAGTGATGACCTCCACATTTTCATAATTTACTTCGCGCACAGGTTAACTGGAAAACGGAAGCAATTATACGGTCGGCGTTCTACTCGCAAGGACTTCAAAACGGCCATGCCGATTTCATTGAAAATCGTTTTTAAAATAGCAGTATGGATACATTAGTTTCACACAATAGTTGAGCATTAATCTTTGTCAAACTATTTCCCATTATAGCAATGCGGTCCTTTGCCTACATTTTTGAGAATAATTCAAGATACGGCGTAACTGAAGATGGACCGACTCAATTGGAAATCGAACTCGCAACGCTGGCCACCCAACAGAGTGCAGCTTTAGGCTAGTCAATCCAGAAAGGTTTGTTTGTTGCTCGTTTATTCTGACCGTTTACCCCCTTGACACCTGTACACAATGGGATTTTCCATCCACACCAATTTAAAGTTCCAAAAATGCAAGTTTAGTTAATCTGCATTCGATATTGTAAAGTGCTGATAACGTACCCAAAAGGATATGTAAAGGTTATTTTGACTTTACTCGACAAGGAATCATTACAGAAGACGGAAGGCAAATCAGCGTCCAAGAACCGAAAATAAAAGTAAGCACAGCGGAAATTGAATTTCACACAAGGTGCACAATCAACTTTACCTAGTCAGGCGATCAAAGTGTCCAACATGGACACTCACGCCACTAATATATCTACACAAAAACATACCGGTATTCCCAAGGAATGAATTACTCGACCCGAATTAAATGCGACACCAACAGGGCAGCCAAGATCAAATTCACCACTTCGTTTGCATTAGGAAAATAGCGAAAAATGGATGATGAAGAAGCACACAACGAATTTCAACGAAAAAACGCGATAGCGACTTCAATGTGTACTCACTCAAATGAACACCTTCTATGTGCCTTTGCAAATGATGCTTCTTTGAAAACAATTTTCCACAGTGCTCGCAAGAATGGGGGCGTTGCTCTGGAGTGAGAAACAGAAAGTGATCCAACCAATGCTGTGCACACAAGCTGTGATCGAAGAAGGCCCGAATGACGAACAATAAACAAAGTGGACCACTACAAAGGCGATCTCGTAACAAACGAGACAAAGACGAACACACAATGTGCGTAATATTCGCTGTTAACAAACGAACAAATAAGAATAGTAATAATAATAATAATAAGGCACTGACAACCCACCTATCTCCAGGATCTAAAATTGATAAATTGGAAAGAAACTCTCCGGAACGGCGACATCTTCCTGCCGCAGATGTAACAGGTGCAACCCATGTACCTAACAGCAGCACTTATTCGGCTCTGGCTTTGCACATTTCGCCATGGTCTATCCGCTTATTCTAATGTGCCACCTTAACCTACATCCATCCTCCTTCGTATCCTTTTACTATAGAACTGCACGTTTTTCCGCTGCCTGTAGAGCCTTCTGTCGAAGGTTGTCGACACTAGAAGAGCTGTGTGTATGCAACAACAGCACTTTCAACACAGCTTCAGCAGTAAAAGTGTTGTTGAAAAAAGTTGACCGTGAAACAATCGAAAGTGGGACAGTCATTGTGCCCATTAGCTTTTAGAACGTAAGTGCATAATGGAACCGCAAGAGTTCGACTGCTTGTGTTGCTGATCACGTGCATCCGTCCGTGACCAGTGCTATAATTCCGAGCTGCACCTTACGAAGGCCATTAATATCCCTGTAGAAGTCCTTGAGTTTTGTGCAGAATTGCTAAAATAATCCTTGCTGATGTCTCATCTTGTCCTCGCGGAGCAAATTCACACAAAGTTACGCTGTGCCACGTATTCCGTTCAGGTTTATGGAATCCAGGCAGTCATTGTGAGCCCTCCATTCCATGTCCCTCAACGGCAGACATTTCAGTGTTCAACTCCTCAGAACTGAGTTGCTTTTGTTTTGAGGATTGACGGGTTTCTGTGCCGACGCGTGCGCAACAGTGCGTGAACGTTTTCAAAGTGATTTTTGGGGGTATTCAGTTAAGTAAGTCCGAGATGCCTGCTCAGCAAGCGCGGGTAACGCGCTGAAGTGCATGGCTGTATACGCTTTATTATCATTTTCAAGGTACTCCCCATATCATATATAGGCAACCCATAGGGTAACATGATCACTGAGACCTAATGGTGTGCTTATAACAACTTCATCAATAATGAGTTGTTCGTTGGTGAGCACAATATCTAGTATGGATGGCCTGTTACCAGTTCGAAATTTCATGGGTGAGGTGACGTTGTTGTACAGAAAGTAGCTGTAAATTATCCCCAGCAAAAAGGCCATAAATTGCGCATTATCGGTTGCCGGTATTTCCAGGCCGTAAGCACTAGTCTCCTTGAATGAAAACGTGACTGTACGACTTGTGCAAAGCAGCATGAAACGTGTTTCAGTTTGGAGCGTAGAGTTTGGCGAGCGGTGAATTACGGCCAGTAGATATGTGTCCCTGTTCCGTAACCATATCAAGCAGCAAAGCGAACAAGTGGCGTGAATTTCTGTGCGATTAATAATTAGCCTTGTAATACAAAACAACAACACCACCCCTTCTAGTTCTAACGTTCCGAAGCAGCGAGATACCGGTTACCTCAAGAGTAAACCAGGTCTCTGTCATCATAATGACGTCCCACGGCTGTGAGGCATGGAGTTCTTTACGTCCAGCTAACCTATTAAGAAGACCTTGGGTGTTAGCATACAAATACGATAGTGTTGTGGATGGTAGCATTGCGCTGGTGGACGCCAAAGTCGGGTTTAGTTTTAAGCCTACCTTCTGATGGTCGGAGACTAATCGTTTTAGGGGAGGGTAGCTGGTAGTTGAATTTCAATCAGGCAGCATGGCAACACAAAGCGTTCCAGACCGCGATGTTCTCTCGTGCGTCTCTCTGTCCTGTCGAGTACCAAACTAGTACCGCGTCTAACACTCTGAAAGAAAGAGCTTTACTGAGGTCGCAGATTCCAATGAGTTGTTCACAACTCGTGGCTGTGTGACTGCTACCTTAAGCTGAGTCTCGGATGGTAACCGGGAGTGAAACTTTAACCAGCCATTCATTGGACCTCTGTCATTCCTTCGGAGTCCAGCACCACTTTCAATAGGTTTGGACCGCTGCCATTGTAGTTTGGTGATGAAGAAACTCACGTGACACATTTAACAATAATGTCGTAAAGAGCGCTTCGCGGATGTAGCAACAGTGCAATCGGTCACGTAGTTGCGCTTTGTGATCAGGAGAATCCGGAAGCCCAGGAACACCCTGAGCAAATATGATTTTCTTGCTGTCGTTTGTGGGAGGCCCGCCATGGTTGGGCGTATATTTTGATCGCCCTTTCAGAGAATAACTAGTAGTATGTTACCGCGCTCGATGAGTTGCGAGGACGAACTGTTGAGATTAGAACGGCCTCTGTCTTCTCTACTGGGTTTAATGATAATTGAAGAAATCGAGATTCACCGCAGTGCACCGAAGTGCACTGAAGGGTGATGCGCTACGTGCAACAGTGTATCGGAAAAGTTCCGTTATTTCGGAGGGTCCCCATAAACGCACTGTAAGGCAGACACAAATAAACTGTCTACTGTCTAGGTTCAGCAGAGCTTCCAAGTTTCCCTCGCCGGTGCACTCTGCTGTGACCCACCGCAAGATACCGATGAACACTGGACGTTCATGCAGAGGACCATGATGACTGTGGTCTTACTCAGCATCCTATGAAAGTCTGCATCTCTACGCACTCTCTATATCCACTTGACCAATGCAGAAATATCTCTGCAAAGTCTAAGTATAATGAAGTGCACCGTTCTGTCAGTCGGCGGCACAAACAAAGCCTACGCAGAGACCGTGAAACTTGGTTGTCCTACCGTACTTCGGAAATAGAAGCCACCCTCTCTGGTCATACTCGCAAGCTCTTCCAACTCATTCGATCCACTGGCCACAGAAAGCCTGCTGTTCGTGAGAGTATTTGCGAAACGGATGGTTCCCCGAATGCCAACTTACAGAGACTCAGCTCGATCAGCGGACATTTTCATTCCCAGTTCAGTTGGTCCTAACCGCCCAATTACATCCCCTGTGAACCCAGCTGCCTGCCCCGGGGTCGTCACACTTGATGCACCCAGCGAAGCGAAAGTCTTGCTACGATTCGACACGCAGGACCAATCAATGCTGCTGGCTCAAGCGGACTTCCTCCGGAGCTGTTCAAATATTGAGGCTCAGTTACCATGCGCCAGCTAACTTTATTTTTCTCCAAAATCTGGCATGAAGAAAAAGTGCGAGTCACTTGTTGTCCTGATTATTAAGCAGGTTGCTCGCACTTCATGCACCAATAACCGGTGGATTAGTCACATTTCGGTTGCATCCAAGCTATTGGCATCCATACTACTCCGTAGAATCCCAGTACAAGAAGAATAAGCTGGTTTCCAACCTGGCTGCGGCCGTGTGGATCCACACTCCATCAAATCCTGGAACACCGCCACCTTTACCAAAGGCCTAGCATAATTGCGTTCCCTGACATCTGTGCCGAATTCGACTAGGCTGATCGACCTGCACTATGGCGTTGTTTGCTAAGAAAGGGTGCCCCAGAAATGTACACTGCCATTCTACGCGCACTGTATTTCCACATCTCCGTCAGAGTTAGGGTGCATGACAGGACTGCGTCGTCCTTCGCTGTCAGTAGCGGTATACGACAAAGCTGCCCTATGTCCCCCGTTAATCTTTAATTTTGCCATTGAAGACGTCCTGTTAAGAGCTCTAGACATTTAACAAAATTTTGGTCTACAGCTACTACCGCGTAAAACCAGCGACCGACTAAGATTATGCCGATGATATCGCCTTACTTGCTGACGACTCAAAGAGCATGCAAACCATCCTAGACCGTTTGGCGATTGAGCCCCTAGGTATGGAATATGCTTTGCCCCGTCAAAGTGCAAAGTGCTGTTTCAGAATTGGCAGTCAAGTGTTCCCGCACTCACCAGTGAAGGTACACAGCTTGAACAAGTGGATAGGTGTGCCTCACCGTGCAGCTGTGTGTCTGCTGGTGTTACTATTGTAAAGGACGTTTCTCTTCGCACTGTCAAAGGTCGGTCGGATTTTGTCGACCTGCAGCATTTGTGGCGTCGTCAGGATGTTTACCTCTTGGTAAAGGGTCGTGTTTACAATGTCAACGTTTGGGCGGTGTTGCTATATGGAAGAGAGTCATGGCCAGTTCGCGTAGACGACATGTGAATGCTCTAGGCCTCCCAACCTGGAAGATTGAGGACGATTGCCCGTGTGTTGTGGCAACAGTACGTCCGCAATAGTGAAGCCAGAGGGGTGTCTTAGGGAATGCGGGTATTCCCTTCAACAATCTGGTTTTGCTGCGCCAGTAAAGATGGCTTGGTCATGTCCAGCGTACGTCAACTGAGCGATTGGCCTATCATGCTCAGTTTGATCGGGCAGGACTCAACTGGAAGAGAGCACGTGGTTGCCCACCATCCACCTAGCGACAGCATATGAGATACTTCACTTCACGTCTTGACACCGTTGGATCCACAAGTCCGCCTGGTTGTGGACCAAAGGGCGAGGAGTGTCGATGGCTGGAAACAATTCAGGATGTGGCTCGTAATAGAAACCCGTGGAGGATCTAGGTACGTAACTATTTAGACTTGAATGCTTAATGCTTACCGATTAAAAACGACAAAAATATTTAAAAGAGCAAGTGTGCAAAATAACAAAAAACGCTCCGCTTTTGTTTTTATCGCGGCACAATAGCCTTCTGTTCATGCGCCATGATGAGGATACGATGTTAAACCTGTCTTCTTTCTGTGATTTCCATGGTTTTGCTTTGCCCCATGGCTATTAAATAGAGTGCTGCAAATTATTGTTATTATTATTATATTATTATTATGGGGTCAACCGGAATACCTACAGCATCACAGATGGAATTCCACTGGTTGCGATCGTCTAACAACCTGCCCGTTATTGTGACATATTTGGATTCAAGAACACGATAGTCAACGCACTGTGTGGCGAATGTCGGCTTGAGTGATGTGGCTGGAAACCTGGATTGTTTACCAGACAGTAAAGATTGTCGTCAAAACTGCTGCGCCCGTGCTTGGTACTGAAAACAGATATAAGCGTGTCACCTCCTGCGCTGTTACCCAGGCAACTGATGCGTAGGTTACCTGTTCTGGGCTGCCGGTGTTATGACCGACTTCTTAGCTATAGCATCCAGGAATGAGTTAAAAGCAGTAATGCTGAATGTGAATGCCGGAATAGGTGGCGAAGTTGACGAGGGGCGGTTAGAAATACTGACTTTAATCTTTGACTGAGCGGTAGAGTTCTTAGGGGTTTGCTGTGGAACAAGGTGGGTATTGTTAGATTCCACTGGCAAAGCCGTCAATCTAGCTATTTGTTCAACTGTTCCAGTCAGCTTTACAAACTTTTCATGAGCACCAATATACAAATGACTAATGAAATAGTTCTGCAGGTTTGGCAAAATAAGAACGCACAAGTCCGAGTGATTTGTGTGATTTGATTTACACCACCGCACCTAGGTTGAACGCGATGGCATAACTTGAACAGGTGATCCCTCACTTTACGTCATGTGCACATTTCAACTCACGAACTTCACCGTTATGTGGAACCATATTCAGTGACTGGGCTGTTGTACTCGAAGGCCGCACTTGTTCGGTAAAGCGATGCAGAGGACGCTTGATCCTCAGGTTTTAAATGATACGGAACCTTAGTAGCTCGGGTTGCCCGTTCAGTTGCTCATTAATTCGCCGAGATAGGGAATTCCTTTGTAAGTTTTCACCATCAAGAGAGGTGGTATCTTCAGTGCACTGATACATCAACGCCTGAAACAACATTTCACGTTAAACGTCACGCGTTAGACGGCAGATAAAGCACGGCTTAAGGAGCAGCGCAATCACAAACCAGTATAGAAGCGAGTGATATTGGTTAGCTATGCCGCTTTTAAAAGTGTCCCACCAAAAGAGGCTGATCCAATAGTATTGCAATTGGTATACTCTTAAAAAGGTGAAGCACGGCACAGCTAAACTGGTCTGAGCATAAATTACAAGGGAAATATGGCATAAGTATACAAACTGCTGTATAAAAACACTTGTGGCTTCAATCCCATTAATTCGCACACAATGGATTAGCTATGATAACACATGGAAAATGGAACTGCGTATATAAGTTGGGTGGGCTAGTTGCAAGACGTCAACAGTTCCCCCTTTCAGTGGGTCCATTTCTCACAGGCACTCGTGCCATGCCATGCCATACCATGCAATAAACCTTATCAAGGTGGTGAGCGGGATGAAACAATGTGAATCGTGTCGGTTCGGAAGGAATCCAACCTCACATCTGTAGTACCCCAACCATGTACCATTAGGTTCGCAATGGCTGTCGGCAGCAAGAACGGAATAGTTGGTAGGAGCAGCTGTTCTGCACCCATCCATAAAAAAACAGCCAAATTAAAAATAAATACCAAGGACTACGTACACTCTGTGCAGCATGTGTTTTGTTGAGACTTCAATAATGAATTGGCGACTTTATTCAAGAAAGTTAGCTGAAAACATCGAATGAAAAAACAACGTTCGGCGGAGTTAAAGATATGGCAGAAAATAGGTGCGCAATTACTATTAGGCTGCATTGACGGATTAGCACGCAAATCGTAAAATGGTGGATTCTCATTAAATTGAATTTTTGATTGACAAATACCCAACGCTAGAAATCAGCAAAAGCCAGTCAAATAACATGGAACGTCCACTTGATGAACAATACGGTGGCTGATCTGGAAATATTAGATATGCTGTGAAGTCGGATGTATCTCAGCGACGAAAGCAATACAACCCTGAGCAGTAACAGTCAGCTTGGTGCCAACGGGGCTAGTAAATTAACAAAATCGCGGTCAAATAAAGCTCCCAGACTTTCATACTCACCCAAATGTACAGATTTGATGTGTGTTTGTAAAGTGTAATTTCGAGAAAAAGATTTCTGACAGTGTTCACAGGTATACGGGCGTTGCTCTGCATTGAAAGAAATAATACGACCAATAAGAGATTAAAGACAAAGGGAAAAGGCGTAGAATGATGAGGGATCTGTTGGTTTACACAAGTTGATAGAAAAAAGGCATCAGCAGTACGCCGGTACATAGTACCGAAGCTTCGCTGCCACACAACCACCATCAGTCGCACGTGGGATAAGGATATTAAGAGAGTCGCGTAGTCATCTACGCAAGCTCGAACTGAAGTTGCCGAAGTATGATGCAGACCAGGTACACACACGTAGCTAACACAAAAAATGGACGTAAAACATCGCCTGCTAGCGTGTTGTGTACGTTAATAATGATATAGAGACGCGTAGAGTGGAGGCTCCATCGTCAGGCTGATTCGAGGAATCGGTCTGGGTACGGGTTAAGTCTTATCATTTTCTTTCTAGCTGTATTTACTTCTCGCCCGGCGCTACCAACGCCAAACTGAACCAACTGAGTGAATTAGTCGAATGGGCATCTGGGATGCCGTTCTTAGATAAAATTTTAGGTGGCGACCTCAACATGCTCGATGTTTCGTGGCAAGGACAAACAGCACTCGTCAATAAACGGAATTTGCTTTCCGCTAGGAACACACGTGGATGGTCAGAGTAAGTAAGCTTTCCTACAAGAGGCAGGAATATTCTTGATTTACATTTCACCTCCAGCATGTCCAGTTGGCAAACACAGCCTTTTAGTAAGCTCCCTGGGAGAGATCATAAGGTTATCTAACTAATGCTTTGTTGGAGCACAGATCATCTCTATCTCGTAATGGTTATTGGTTGCAAAAAGCCTTGTTTAGGCTCCTGTGCTCACGGATCACTACCTGGCGAAATTACCCCCAACTTGTGTTTTGACGGATTTTTGCGCGCCACAGCGCCATAATGTCCCTGGGTCTGACTATTACCTGACAGTATGCTCACTCATACGGACAACATCTTTTCTTTTATAACTTTCATCAAAACGAAATGTTTTAACATTCCACAGAAGCTATGCTTGTATGCATATTTGATCACGCCTTTACAGGTGTGTCTCGTTTTACCGAGAATATACTATTTATTTATTTGTTTATTTAACTGTCAAGGTTGCTCTGGTAACGGCAGTGAACCCACACTATGCGTAACAATATCGACCATATCACAAACTGCACGGGAACAGCTTCCGTCTGACCGTTACATCCTTTGACTGGAATAGCTTTTTTCTTACAGACAGTCCAAATATCGCTGCTGATGAGTTCTAACAGCATTTGAGCTTCTGCACCGACGTGATTGCATCGTTGAAATATAAGAAGTAGCCAGTGCCTCGTCCTCAAAATCCCATTCGTAAAGCGGTTCGGGAGCGTCTAAAACGCTTGTGCTTTAGGTTTAAGAAAATGAATGATATACGTGCGATCATACAAATTGAGAAAATTCTCAAGGACTTGCAAGAACAACATATAAGTTTATGTCACAGGAGACACAAACGCTAGCAGCTTCTAGCTGCAAACACATGTTTCTTCGCAAAATAAGTGTCAGATAGAAAGCACATCATCAACCTATAACGATGGCCTCATCAATTGACAGTGTCACTATCGACCTCGAAGAGCTCTGCGAGCTACCTAATAAGCATTTCTCCTCGTCGTTTAACACAGGCACAGTTACTGCACAACACAGACTGTCTCTATTCAACAACGAAACAATAGATATAGTTGAGCGCAACCTGCGTAGCATTAGCAGGCAACTAACAGCTCTAAAGCATTCTTTTCACTCTGGACTTGACTGCATACTACCAGCAATGCACTTCCCATGAACAAGGTGCATGCGTGAAAGTGTCATGAATGTAATACATACTTCCGTCCAATATGTGGAGGGTATCTGAGGAAAAAAGGTGCGTACATTTTATTCTTCCTCTATGTGGGAACAGTCTCTCGAATCGTCGAGAAATAAAAGATTTTATTTACTTAAATGACCAACTAACGCGGTGGATTCAGTTGGTAAAACAGAATATGTTGGCTAAAGCACCGCTTCAAGAGCAGATAAAATCCGTACAGCCGCAAAAACCACTAACACTGCGCCTCACAGTAGCATTCGTTCCGGGGCTGTGTTGTACTCCTTCACCTGCCGTACTGCTGCTCTAGACCGGTTCCGTCTAACGTCGAATCCAACCGTAAAACCAAAAGTCAAGATTCGATACACGGTGAGTGTTCGGGAACGGTTCTATTTACAGATCAGAGGTAATTATGGAAACCGTGATCTTCGGCGTCCTCGCCTCAATCCATGAGAAGGAATTCCAATTTGCATCGACAACCACATTTCGCCGTTTGTCCGCGGCAGGACACGGCCCCTGTCGGTACACAGTTGAGGCACAACCAAGTTTGTCAGGCACTCATATCGCACCGCTGTTCCACAGTTGGGTAGCTGTTCGAGTGTCAAAAGTCGACACTTACCTGAGTTCGCCAAGCAACTACATTGCACGATTTTGCTTCGGCACGTTTGGTATGCGTTGCACCTTGTGGGCCTCTATAAAGCGTTCTGGATAACCGTAATCTAGAAACATTACTTCAATGCGTTTGTGTTTACCTTCAATAGCGTCTTCGCTTAAAATATTATACGCGCGACCATTTAGGGTTCACACCAATGTCCTTCTGCAGCTGAATGGGACGAAGTTGTGAAAATACGTGTATTGTTCCGCCCAACACGGTTTTCTGTACACTTTTATTTCGATTGATCCGTCGATCCATCAGAATAGGGTTGCGTATGAAAAATTCATCCGATTGCTACTTTCTTCCACAGCCGTAAACGCGGAATTATGGTGGGATTTGATGAAACCAACGACTACCAGCTGCGGATCGACGGTGCGATTATCCAGTTCCAGGTGAGCTCATATATCCGAACCCGTACCAACTGCCTCTTTGTAGACATGACCAGCCCGAAGTCTAAAGGTAACGAGCTTACCATGTAATCTGACAGCGCGGGTTTGAGCCGGCGTAGGGACAGGGTGACCCTCGCGGTATCTGTAGTCCATGTGCGACCGGTGGTGGTTGCGCAGAAGCGAAGCGTCCATACTACATACCGGCGTACTGTAGATGCCTTGTATACAGGGGAACCCAGGGGTTACGCCTCGCCCGCGCTTATACGGCCCATTCATTTCGATCCACATGTCCGGACTCGTCCCCCCGGTGATAAGAGTAATTTAGCATAGTTCACAAACCTTGGTACATTGTCGAGAGTGTGCAGTTTGGTACTAGCATTGCCAGATCGTAAAAGCACCTCACCAAAGGCTTGACATCTCACACAACTTTTCTAGAATTCGTGTGCGTCAGTATCCAGCGATGGTGTCTAGCACGCGTGGAACAGTTAAAGCAAAACTGTTCCGTTCGCTTCGAGGGCAGAATCCTCAAGGACCGTGTCATTGGTTCCGACCGATCTAGATGTTACAACTAGGCCATTCATAACAACACACATTGAGAAGCAACTAATACGTAACATGCCTCACCTCGAAGTTGGCGTCGGTGGGACCCAATCCCGACTACCGGGCTTGGGTCCCAATAACGATAAACGTGTTTGACTGGACACACTTGCTGATATGGTGAAGAGCCGGCTCTAATGGCGTTTGTCTTGTTTCATTGTTACCCCCTCTCCTATGGATTCCCCTCTAATTGCGATCATATAGAAAATACATAATATTATGTTTAACGTTATAGTACATGCGTTTTGAATTTTAGTGTAATTTTTAGTATCTTTGTTGTATTGGAGCACATTAGCTGAGTTTTTTCTCACTCTCAGCTAACGTGTACATTGATGATGAATACATAAGCTATAAAACCATGAGTCTTAGAGGGGAAGGCTCCAAGTAGTTGGCGGTACATATCGTGGTATTGCACATGCAAACACAGAATACGTAAAAGATAGCACTTACGCAAATGGATGACGGATACGTGAAACTGGAGATGAGAATTTTGAAAGAAGGCTTTACCACAGTGTTCACAGGTGTGGGTTCGCTTTTCTGTAGCAGAAAGTATGAAGATACCATGAATGTGGAACTATAATGTAAATAAACCGTTGTGCTGTTGCGATGGACCAAAAATCAGTACTACCATACCGAGTGTCAGCAGAATAGAACCACCAAGAAAGTCATACGCTATCGAGCCAAGAGCGTACCACACAGACGTCCAAGCAGAAAAGCAACGCATGAGAGCCACCTAAATATGTGTACTATGACCGGAAACGCGAGCACCGTGCACCTCGTAATCACCAACAGAGAGATCGAAGATAAATGGAACGGTTGGTGGTTACAGCTGATGCACATAAATGAGGTTGTTTGCCACAATATATAACCGTTCATAAGTTGGGTTCCTGTACCGGAGACACGACCTGCAAGGTAGATTATGAAGATCCCATGGCAGGAGCCGTTTGCAGAAAGGAGGGTACGGACAATCTAACAAGATTTCGCGGATGTGGTGAAGGTTTGAATGAAAGTCGACCTGACGAAGCTGGTCGTTCTGGGGAGTCAACTGAATGGCAGAGAGAAGACAGTAGTACTGGAAGGGGCTCGAAGAATTCTACCTAAAATGAAGTCAGGCGCCACGAAGGAGGTGTTCCTCTACGCAGTGGACAGTTTGGCCGAATACGAGGAGGCCATGTGGCGGTTCTAGGCGGCTCGGCTTGGATCACAGGAGGATCCGCTCGGGTCTACAGTTCACATTAAGTGGACAGAGCGTCAAGATAGCTACATTATTAGTGGTGCAGAACTTCACCGCTATCCTGCATGTGTTCGCCGAACGTCCGAAGTGTGAACGCTACCAGGGGATTTCATGAAGGAGCCAGCACGGGTGGCCCGTGATCAGGATGAAGCACCACTCGCTCTATCGGAGGTTCAATATGAAACAATGAAGCAGTTGGATAAATTGGAACGGACGATGCACCAACTGGTGTAGGCCATCATCTTGTGGTGGACAAAAGGGAGGCACTACTGCGCTAGAAAACCAAATGCTGTCGAGCCAACAGCGAGCCATAATAACTCCTAGAAAGAAAAGGAGCGCTTTGGAAGCGCATATATATGCGCGCCACATAACTAATAAACACAAAAGCAATGCGCGCTACAGAATTTCCTACAGAAAGTGGGTAGATGACTGGAAGTTTCAATGGTCAGCACTGCTGTATGTGGTCCATGCTGCATGCCGCGGTAAATAAATTCGTTAGCACCTTGGGTTTTTATACTGGTGCAGCGACCAATGAAAGTAGGTAAAGAACAGCTCTTGATCGCAGCAGTTCGAAAAAGGGGATGTGAGAAACTTTTTGGACCGTTTCAAGGATGTGGCGGAGGCCGTTGGTGTGAAGACCGACCTGGCGAATTTGGTGGCTCTGGGGAGCCTTGTCAAGGACATATTGAGAGCAGTCCTAGAGATGGCGCGAAGAGGCTTCATCAAGTTGGAGTGGGCTTCCGCAAAGGATGTGCTGGTTTCCAGGTTGGACAGTCCAGCGGATCGCCAACAGGCAAGTTGCGATTCAAAGCGGCCCGACTTGAAGCCGTGGTGGATCTCATCGCCCTTTCGGTTCACGTCAGGAGGTTGTTGAACAGTGCCAAGCCGGTAATATATTAGTTCAGGACCAGTCTCCGATAGCCGATCTCGGAACACGTCCGGAGGGCGAGCGTTACCGGGGGAAGGCGGCTGGAGGAGCTGGCGCAAGTGGCTCGAGAGATGAGCGACGCGCCACTGGTTGTGTTGGAGAAAGGACACCACAGGGATCTGGAGCGCTTGGATAGAGTGGAGGATGACGTAACAGTTCCTACGAGATGCCAAATGTTTCGTGTTTAGCGATCGGAGGAGCTAACAAGAGGATGTCGGTTCCATCGCAGAAAACCGGGACCCTGGGAACGACGATGTTCGGTGAGGTGCGCTGCGAACCGTGTACCAAATAGACGCATTAAACCTTGTTTTCTTCTCGAACCGAGAGAAGTGTACTCGGGCCGATGAACTAAGGGGCGACCAAATCGATGGTGGAAGTAGACGGAACGATGTAACGGTGTCTGGTTCATATATATATATATATATATATATATATATATATATGTTATACACAATCTGTGGTACAGATATTGTGCCATCGGAAACATGGCTGAATAGGAAAACAATATGAATAATAAGAGCAACAAGAAATGCTTTTTTTGTCAATTTTACCACTCACAGCTTTTGAAATTTTTTCAGTTTGTTCTTTTTTAGGGGGAGGAAGAAGGGACATTGCAACAAACCGATGCACACGTCCGCCATTGACATCGATCTTGAGACATAACTTCCAAGGTCATCAACCAGCAAGTATCCTCATCTCTCGGACTCCAACCAGGTAGTCGACAACAACCGGCCGAGGCCAACCGTTTCGTCAACTTTTCAATGCGGCTTCTCCATGTTGTAGGCTGTCCGCCAGACCGTCTCTTACAGCCTTGTCCAGCAAGTGCAAACAACGCACGACGGGGGTAACGCTGGACAGGCATGCACAATACGTGTCCCAACCACCGCAGTTGATGCAGTGAGACGAGCTCCTCGAGCGAGTGGCTTCCACGTCCCAAGACATGCTGTCTAACTTCCAAATTGCTTACGCGGTGCTGTCACCACACACGGGCAATAGACCGCAGACAGCGGTGCTCAAAGACGGATAGCCTGCGCAAGTCATCTTTACGAATGGGCTAGGTCTCGCATCTGTACAACAGTACAGCACGAACAGTTGCACAATAGACCCACCCTTTGCTGGAGAGACGAATGTAGTGGCGACGCCACAAATGCCTCAGCCTAGAAAAAGCGAGGCCTGCTCTCGAGATGCGCATCGAAATCTCGTCTCCAACAGCCCCGCCAGCAGTGATGCAACTTCCCAAGTAGACAAAGCTCTCCACAACCTCTAGTGTCTCACCAGCAAGCGTGAGTGCAGGCAGAGGCACCTGCCAGTCTTGAAGGAGAGCCTTGCATTTGAATGGCGAAAAGTACATACCGTACTTTGATGCCTCAATCGCCAAGCGGTTTAATGCAAGTTGGACGACCTGTGGATCGTCACCCAGCAAGACGATATTATCAGCATAATCCAAATCAAAAACTCGACTACCTGGGAGGAGCTCAACGCCAGCGTTCAACGAATCGCTCAGAGCGTTCTTCAGGACATCCTCAATGGCAAAGTTGAATAGGAACGGAGAGATAGGGCATCCTTGTCGAACTCCACTGGAGACCACAAAGGTAGGCGAAAGCATGCCACAAGCCCTAACCCTGCCCGAGGTCAGACTATATAGAGCGCGCAGTATGGAGACGAACTTCTCGGGTACACCATTCCTCAGAAGACAACGCCACAGTACTGTACGATAGACACAAATTCGAAGGCTGCACGGATATCCAGGAACACAGCAATCGTTGGCCTCTGATACACATGGCGGAGCTGGAGGACCTGGCGAAGTGTGAAAATTTGATCGATGCAGCCGCGACCAGGGCGAAACCCAGCTTGTTCTTCTAGTTGCAACGATTCGCGTGTTGGGGATAGCCTGCAAAGTATGATGGATACCAGCAGCTTGCAAACGTAGGGGACTAAGCTTATTCCTCTGTAGTTGGGGCAGATTGTGCGCAGGCCCTTTTTGAAGATGGGGACAACTATCGATTCACCCCAAGATGATGGAACGTTCTCTTTCGACCAAATTTTCGAGAACAAAGCGGTGAGTTCTCGAACGAGCGATGCGCCACCATCTTTAAATAGAGCTGGGTGAAGACCATCAGGGCCGGGGGCTTTATAACGCTTCATGTGCCCGAGCTCCTGCTCGATTTCCTGGGAAGAGGGAGGATCTGTGGGGGTAGACCACACGGCCCCCGCGAGAGCGCTAGTGGTAGCAGATGGAGCTGGGGGGCAACAAAACTGTGAGCCAAAATGTTCGGCCCATCGCTCCAACCGTCGTTGAAGATTGGTAATTAAGGTGCCATCCTCTTCGCATATTGTTTCATTTATACCAGACCGAACACCTTCGGTGACTCGAATGAGATGGAAGAGTTACCTGGTATTACCACAGAGACTAGCATGCTCCATCTCCCTAGCACGTTCACACCACCAAGCTTCGCGGTTCACTTGCAGACTCCTGCGCAACTCTCGACCAAGGTATTGGCGTTCCTCACTGTGTCTGGAATCCGATGGGAGCAAGCGGCGTCTGTCCATCAGCGACAAGGAGTCGGCGGAAATCCAATGCTTCGGCGGGTGACGGGTAACTCCACAAGTGTTGACACTGGCGGAAACTAAAGCATCTTTGATATGCGCCCACTGCGAATCGAGATCACGGTCAATAGTTGAGCCAAGCCAGGTTGCCAGTGAGGCTTGGTACCTGGTTAAAATCGCAGCGTTTTGTAGATTCGCGACGTCAGGTTGGTAGTGGGCGCGCTTAGGTGATCCTCCGAAACGCATGCAAATCTTAGCACGAACCAATGCGTGATCAGAGTCTAGAAAAGTTGACCAGTACGATCGGCAGTCCGTTACGCTTCCGCGCCATCTGTAACTGCTTGCTATGTGGTCAAGCTGGGAGCACTCTTGCGTTCGTGAGGGCGGGCGTCAGGTAGCAGTGTGTCTCTTTCAGTGCCGAAAACTAGTGCTCGAAAGAAACAAGCGATGATCAGAGCAAAGAGCAAGCAATCTGTCTCTATTGTCTGATCGACTGCCACCGAGAACAAAACTACCCCCAAGGTGGTGCTCGCTTGGTGGAAGGCGGCCAACTCGTGCGTTAAAGTCCCCGGCAAGAATGACTACATCAGTCCTTTTGGAGGAACGCAGAAATACATGTAGCTGTTGGTAAAATGTATCTTTAACTGCATCCGGGCTGCAGTCTGTAGGGGCGTAGGCGGAGACGACAAGCAAGGCACGCTTAACGTCTCGACGCCTGCTTACGTTACATGAACCTCTTAGTCTGACTGCACATAGCCGACTGTTGACTGGAATCCAGTCAAGCAGAGCTGATTCAGCCTTGGCACTTAATACAATCCCAACACCAGCTTGACCAGTGGCGGCAGCTTCTGGGTC